GAAGACGTGAGGAAATTCTGTCTTTTTTAAAGACAAAAATTTTTGAGGCGAAATACCCAACAAGAAGTTTGTAAAAAAATGAATCCGCCTCAACATATTTATGTCGAATATGTTACAAGAAAACGTTTACCGTACGTTTTGGGGCAACGTTTCGGAAACGTTCAAAATTCACATCCACAAGGCAAGTAAAAGTGTCTAATTTTTGACATGTAACCCTCGGAAACTTTCATTAGAAGCTGAGATGAGCGTGTTGACGTCACTTTGACATTTTTTTGTGAACTGTCTGTTTCAGTCTATCAAAACTAGAGTAAAACTTGGGATTTAAACGCACCAAGTGGACAGATTTTTGACAAATGAAGCTTTCAAAACCTGCGCCAGGGCTAAAATACAACCGAAACGTTGTCGCAAGAAAAACAACGGTATTTCCTACCACTTCGTTCACCGTAAATTAAAAAAAAAACAAACATTCCCTAAAAAGCTGCCTCAGAAATGGACTACAATAAATAATTAAGAAATGCCCCAGACAGAAAAATTAGGGCAACATTTACGTAGAAAACATGAGACGCTACTGACCGAAAAAGGTTGCCAATCTCAACTTTTTACAGAATCTACAGAAAAACATCTCCAGGGTTCTGTACGTTAAAGACTCCCAGCTCATTTAAGAGCGTCTGGAGTATCGGAAGCTGTTTTAAATCGACTAATTTATGCAACTAAAAAAAAAAGAAAAATTTTAAAAGTTTGCTGAAAATGATCCCAACACAATGAGTGATAAAATGTGAGTTTTAAAAATAGATCAGAGTGAGCTAACTGATGTGGATCGTGGCTGGACAAATGAATGCTTATTGATGGACAAAACTGATAATGACCCAGAATAATACCAAGGCGTCTTGATTGATACGATAGAGGGATTTGGAAGCGACTCAAAGGTCGCATGGAAAAGTTCCTGACGTGGTAAAAATGGCGGCCATCATGTTCCTCGAATGAGGCTAAACCATTACACGCCCGAACAGGAAAAAACACGGATTTAACCAAGCGGCCGCCCCCCGGTTGAGTGCCGCAGTGGATTCGTCCGAACCTCATTTTGTTCATGCTCTCGCTGTTTCTAATAAATTTTTCTCGACGTCTGCCATGTTTCTATGCCGGCCATGCCACTTTCCAATTTTACTTAAAATCGTCGACGCCGCTAAAGACAACCCCATTTTTCCCCAAAAAAACAACCAAACTCCCTTTTTCCCAGCAGCAAGAAAACACATTTTTTTCCGATTGTTAAGTTTCCTTTTACTTCGCAGATTGTTTTTGTTATCGATGACGTAACGTTGTTTTTGCAAGTCTAGAACTGAAATTGCATTATTTATACCAGTTTTGGCGGTCTTGGGCGTTTTATCTGTTTTACTTCAGCTTGTTGCGGCTGGACTTCGTGTTTTTGCTTGTATTTCCACTGTCACTTAGCGCATTTTTAACTGCATTTTTACGTTATTGTAACATCATCAGAGTGGTTTTTGGGCAACAAGTCACTTCAAAAATCTGTCAAAACCAAAATAGGACATTTCGCAAAGAACTTGCCAAAGTGACGTTGTCAACACGCACATTTCCTGCCTCATTTTCGCTTCTAAAGTCTTTGAAAGCTTTATTTCTCCAAATTCAGACAGTTTGTCTGCATGGATTTTCAATACTTTCTTTATATTTTCCTGTCAACTTAGTGCGTTTAAATATTTTTTTTCTTTAGTTTACACTGCCATCAGCGTCGTTTTGAACAATCACTCACTTCGAAGCTGTCACAATCAAATTAGACACCTCACATTGAACTTGTCAAAGTGACGTTATCAACACGCACATTTCCTGCCTCATTTGCCCTTCTAAAGTCTTTGGAAGCTTTATTTCTCAAAATTCAGACAGTTTGTCTGCATGGATTTTCAATACTTTCTTTATATTTTCCTGTCAACTTAGTGAGTTGAAATATTTTTTTTCTTTAGTTCACACTGCCATCAGCGTCGTTTTGAACAATCACTAACTTCGAAGCTGTCAAAATCAAATTAGACACCTCACATTGAACTTGTCAAAGTGACGTTGTCAACACGCACATTTGTTGCCTCATTTTCGCTTCCAAAGGCTTTGGAAGCTTTATTTCTCAAAATTCAGACAGTTCGTCTGCATGGATTTTCAATACTTTCTTTACATTTTCCTGTCAACTTAGTGCGTTTAAACGTTTTTTTTTCTTTAGTTTACACTGCCATCAGCGTCGTTTTGAACAATCACTCACTTCAAACCTGTCAAAATCAAATTAGACATCTCACATTGAACTTGTCAAAGTGACGTTGTCAACACGCTGATTTACGCCTCAAGTCAAGTCAAAAATTAGACACTTGTCATTATGGACATTTGCTTCATTCACTTAGAATCTGTCAAAGTCCAACTAGGAGACTTCACATGGATGTTCAACACGCTCAGTTGTCAAAATTTTGACACTTTTACTTGTCAGCATGCATCTCTCTTTGGCCCTTTAACTTGTCAAAGTGACGTGACAAGAAAATGGAACTTTGGGAACTATTTGGCTGAAACTGCGATGGCCAGGCACTTTCTAACCAAAGGTCGTTGACACAAACCGCACTCATTTCACACCTTTTTACGACATTGCAACAGTTGGATTCGGATCCGCGACTTAATCGATAAAAACGCCTTGAAACGCCTTGAAACTGGGGAAAAACAAGTTCAGTTGATTTTTTTCTTCCAAACAATACGCCCTAGAAAACAGTTCAATGAGTGAAAATTGCAGGATTTTGCCGGAGGAAATCTGGGATTTCGTTGATTCAACCACTCATTCTCATCGGTGTTAAACTCCATTCATGCTGTATATGTAAGGGCAACTTTTTGTTCAAACCATGTACAGGGTGAAGTAAAATTTTATCAGGAAAATGAAGAATGTGGTAGAAATCGCGAAATTAGATTAGAAAGAGTTATACATATTTTCGCAATTGGTTGGCTGCTGTCTTCCCAGATACAAGGTGTTGAAGTTAGAAAATTTACGGGGTTTTCCCGTTCCAACTTTCGCAGTTTTTAAATTGAACTCTTAGTTCTTGAACTCTTAGAAGCGAAGCGTCTGCGCGCATGTTTTTATTAGAACTTTCCTACTTATTTSCTYGATTTGAARTAAAAGAAATTGCATTTRCAYTTCGATTCACCCTGTATATGGTTCATTCGACCGATTGGAAATTGAATCGCTCTGCACCATAATTTGCTGACGAGWTATATATAAAATACTTGCGAGACAAAAACGACAACTTTGGACAAAGTTTCGACTATAGATCAGTCATCATCAGGGCTAAATCCCGGGAACGTTCATAATGATTTATGAAAGGTTGTCCCGAGAAAACCCGTGTTTTACCATTCGATGACTTACCGATTGTCCCTATTCAGAATTGTCCTCTTCGTCAAAGGAGAGCAGGCTTTTGTTTCTTAGCTTCTTGGCCTTCTGTGTCTTTCCTTCGGTCTCGGCTTTATCCAAGGGACGCTTCGATCTGGATTCTTGGCCTTCTGACGACTTTTTCGTCGGCTTCTTGAACACTACGGGGGCGGTGAGATCGGCCCGTTTCTGCTCTTCCTCTGCAAAAGAAAATTGGAGCTTTACTGACGTTTCCGTCTCTGAAAACTGACTGGGAAAAATCCAGAAAAGTATGCCGGATTTTCGAATGCAAAATATTGCCAAAATTTGCTCGTTGCTTTTTCAAGGCGGCTGGCAATTTAAAACAATTGACACTCGCGCTTATCTTTTTACAAGCTAATGAACCAGCCACTATTCGTCTTACATAATGGCGTCGCCTACTAGAGTCTGAGCCAACTGGACTAGTTTCTTGAATAATGATGAATATGGTAGAAATGGGGGGTTTTTAGAGGCAAATTAGGGGGGATTTTGGCCAAGTTTCTGGATGGCTTGGAATGGAAAAGGCGGTGGCGTTCAATGCGAAATGGATATTTTCTTCCAATATGGCCGCCCAACTCTACCAGGCCAAGTTGAACGTGGGGAAACCTTCAAAAGCCTCCGTCACGTGACGGTCCCAACAATATTAGAGAGTCGTTGCGCGCAACTATTCTTCGATCATCTAATCTAGTGCGGCTTGAAATGCTTTCAACTGCCCTGCAAAGAGTTGGACATTCTAAAAAGCGCATTTTCAAGACGATCCAAATGCATTTTCCAACTTCCACTCGGTTTCCATGCGGGAGTTTCCCGGGTGAAATAGCGCGAGTTTGGAAAACTCCCCTTGGAAACCAAAATCGATAATATCATAATCGGCCACTTGGACAATGGGTTTCCAATTGGAGAATTGATGGAGGCTCGATTTTTTCGGGCATCGCGTTAATCTCGTTGGAAGGACATTTTTCCAAAAAAAACTCCAGAAAAGCAAAAAACGTCAAAAATCCAGACTCAAGTGATGGAAACAATTGCCAAGTTTCCATAAAATCCTTGTAGAAAAGAATCAAACATGGCGGCTCTAAGAGAAAATTTTACATCCGGTAAATAAAGTATCAGTGAGCAAAATACCGTTCCGTACTTTGGACCAAACCACATTGCGCAAAAGGGGAGTCCGCTTACTATCCAACCTCAACCCAAAACGATCACAAGTTCCAACAACACGCTCTCTCTCGCACCCGCATGCCCCGTATAGCGCCGTCTCTCACTCATGGAACATTCACGTGAACGGAAAACATTGCCGCCTTGCCCAATAGTCTTAAGTGACCGAAAAGTCACTCAGCTCAATGCGACCCTCTTAATCAATGCTGCAATCCTGATTTTTCCATTAAATTATTGGAAAATCGGGGACTAGAATGCGCTCGAATTCAAAACTTTATCTTGGCGGGCCATGCGGGAAGCTTCAATGGACGCATGCACCAACCAAAGCACGTTCATATGATCGCCAATGCGCTGGTGTCATGTTGGGCAAATCACCCAGAATTTTCCTGATATCTGCCGTAAGTTAATCCAAAAAAAAATCTACTGCAGCATTTTCCTGTGGGAATCGTCGATTGAGGCAACCCGACTCACAAGTTTTTCGTAGTTTTTAATGAAAGTTCACTTGATCCCAGGCAGTTTCGAGTACGAAAACCTTTTGATTGTGAAAAAATTCGGCCAGAAAACACACGTTGAACAACAACCAAAATCGCCATTTTTGGGCTAAACTTTTTCACCCTCCTATCACGTATTTAGTTCCAAACGATCTGGGAGTTTGAGGAACTTGCGAATAAGACGCGACAACATCGGAAACTGACAAAACAGAGCGCTGATCTGTCATGAACCTTCACTGCCTCAATTTAAATTGGCATGCTACAAGTGGCGACTTACTCCATCGGCCAAAGCTGTGGGTTGAAAAGAGACAAAGCTAGTCGAGCGCGTGCATGTGGTCTGGTGCATTTTGTCTATTTACCTGAATGGATCCTTTGCAGTAAAATTGAGGGCAAAAGAGGAGAATGCATGTGGTGGCAAAGCCCGAACTTGAGCCCCCATGGGGTAGTAGGAACAAACTTACCTTTCTCTAACCTCAACTTCTCCTGATTGGCTTCGTCGGCGGTGAGATCGCCGGGGCGCAGCACCACGATTTGAGGTTGTTCCTCGTCACTGTCCCTCAAATCCTCGTCCTCAACAGGCCCTAAATCCTCCCGCTAGAGGAAAAACAGGGCTTTAGTGAAGTCAAACGTCAGAACTAGACATAACCTACTTTGGTGTCAACAGTGGGCCCTTCTTTGTAGCCGATCTGCTCTTTTAGTTTCCTCAAAAAAGTGGGCTCGTCAGGTTTAACGTATGCGATGTTGTGCTTCTTTGGCATTGCTCATTCGGAATCGCGTTTATTAGCGGATGTTTATAAATAAATTAAATGTGAAAAGGCACTATTTGTTCACCCACGTATACACTCTGAGGCAACGGCATAGAGACTGGCGCGGGTCGGGCAGGGGAGGGCATGAGTACTCCTCTTCTAGAGCATTTTCGCCTCAGCCAGACTTGTACTCTCTTTCACTCAATTGGCCAAAGTTGGGCCACGTGACCTGTTAAAGTGACGCTACCCGTCTACGTCGCCGTGCGAAAATGCCCCGACGTTTCGAAAGTTTTTACCGTACGCTCAGTTTTGCCGTCCCCCATAATTTTCTATAACTCAGCTCCATCCCGTCTGGTTTTTGCCACGACGTCGTCTTGGGAAATTGATACAAAAACTACACTTTCTACGCTATTCCTAACTGCATTTTCCTTAGCAACAATTCCCCCTCCCTTTTGGTTTCGTTGCTTTTAAAGGGCCTGCTAGATGGGAAACTGTGGAACCTATTAGTTGATGACGTGTTCAATTTGTTACATGACCTGCCATTGGCGTGGACGGCAACAGTTGCCAAACAGGAAAACTTAAATAGTTTTCTTTCACTTTTATGGGTGGCAAATCGGGCTGAAAACACTCTGTATATTGAAGACGCGATTTATTTTCAGTTTTTAAAAATTTTATTTCGAAGGAAAAATCTGGAAATCTGACTTTTTCAGGCAAAAATTGCGGCTTTTATGGAGCAAATTCCTAGCAATAATTTTTTTGTTCGAGATTCTTCGGTGCAACTTTGTCACAACAATTTTCCTATTAAAATGCCTTTAACTCCGGTATTTGCGGTCCTTTGTTCGCTTCCATTTTTGCCTCTCCCCCGAAGGAAAATACACTTCTTTTGAATAATTTAAATTTTTGATTAAGTCATCCAAAGGAATTTTGTCCCGAAGCTTCGCCAGCATTTTCACAGGCGTCTTGACCGCCGAAACAAGCATACGTCTGAAGATAACAGCAATGCAGGCTAGCGAAACGTCGTGTTAAAATCTCTACCGACGACACTAGAAAATTGTGAGTTTTCAACAACCCATTACACATTTTCTCAGTATTCTGTAATGAAATAGAATGTGATAAATCAAAGTTTACGCTGTATGCTCGTATTATTTTTTATGAAAAACATGTTCACTGGTTCATTTTTGTCGTGAATAATTTGGCTCACTCTATAGTGAAATTTTAGTAATTTTTCCTTTAGGTTGACCCCAGAAAGGCGCGTTTTTTCTTCAATACCCAAAAGTCGCATCTTCAGATTTTTACAGAAGCACTTTAAGTGAATTGGGGCTCCATCTAGCGTCGGATATGAATGTGTTCCGATGTCCTACCTGGAACTACTGCTAAGTTGTGACGTGATGGCAGCTTAGTCATAGATTGGGACCAGAGATGGCAACCTCAGCTCTATTTTTCAATAAATTAAGGCGATGAACAGGTTTAATTATACACAGTGTCTTAAAGAAATTATAAACCAATTTTATTAAATACCACTTTCACGTACTTAAAGTGTTTCGGATCAGATTAAACTAATCCAAAGCGACGAATCTTTGAGAATGTGAAGGACTCCAGTTCAAGTGTTGCTTCAATAGCCTGTCAATCTTCTGTAGATTTTTTTGCGAAAACATACACTCTAAGGGCATGTATATTGAGGATTTACCTAAATGGAGTCTCAGGCACCTTTTCAGTTAGGCTAGTTTTTGCACAATTAATCTTTGAAACAAATTCCTAAGCAGCCAAAAATGGAGTCGTACTCCGTCTTTTAGAAGCTTGCCAATCTCCCGGAGAACTTTTGCGAAGAATGCCAATTTTTCCAGACTTAAAGAAAGGTCTTACTTTTTCAATAAAGCTTCAAACGGCCGTCAGTTTGGCCCAGTTTTTGCAAAATTAATTTTTGAAGAAACTCATACCAGGAGGCGAGGTGTTGCTTTAGGACAGGCGTCATGTATTGATTCAAACAAGCGCTAATGTTCCCCAGATTTTTTGCGAAAAGCCACACTTTTGGGCCATGTGAAGCGATAGTTTCTCTTTGCAGTCGTGGTATCAGCGCTTTTCAGTCTAGCTTAGTTTTTAAAAAATCATTTTTTCTAGAAAAGCTTGTGCAGTTAAAAATGGCGTCCCGTGGTAAGTGTTGCTTCAAACGCGTGCCACAAATGCCCAGTGCTTTTGAGAAAAAGGACACTTCTGGGTCATTTAGAACCATAATTTTTCTTTCCACGGACATTAAAAGCGCCGTTGAATCTCGCTTAGATTTTGCAAAATGAATTTTTGAACAAACCCCTTTCAACTAGTTAAAGGCGTTAGACAAGCGTTGGGGCAGCGCGTCTAGCGTTGCTTCAAACTCCTGCCAAAAATTCCCAGAGTTTTTGCGAAAAATGAAACTTTCAGCGCATTCAAAACAAACTTTCACCTTTTTCCTGAAGCAGCAGCCGCTTTCCCATCTAGTCTAGGTTTTGCAAAATTTATTTTCAAAAGCACCTAAATAATGGAAAAAGGTCCCTGCTGTGACTGCAAGAAGCATGAAGAAAAGTAGCAAATCTTTCACCAGGTTGATTCGACGCAATTCGCATGCGGAGCACCTTCAAATCTCCCTTATCTCGCGTTATCTTCTAATCAAACCAAATTGTTTTGATATGATGTTTATTGTAAAAATAATAAGTTTACGTGAGTCAGGTGGTGAATGTGAGATCATGCTGAGTGAGTTTTCGTGACGGAAAGTTCGACTTCAACATGGGAAAAGCTGAAGAGCCAACTGGGGGACTTTGCGAGCCTCTGGTGAAAATTGGGGCAATTTTGGGCGTAGTAAGTTGCAGAAATGTTCTTTTGTTTTACGATTTTTCCATTATTAATCAGCGTCTTTATCTATAGACGCGGATTAGTCGGGAAACGGTTGGTTTGCAGGAATCCGAAACTTTCGCTCTATATAAAGCTAGCGGAATTTGCCCCGTAGAGTAAAAATGCCACGTAGCTAGTTTTGCTTGTTAGAGTCTGTTGAGCGAGTAGTTTTCTTTTGATTTTCGCTGAAGCTGAGCTGAAGCTGGAAATTTTCTTTCAGATCCAGGGGTTTATATGGACCGTGCTGTCTCTGACGGCCATTCTACTTGGCCAATTTTCTTTGCAAAACACCTCAATTTCCCCCGGATCGCTTATCCATGCGATTTATCTGAGTAAGTTTCTGGTGATTGATCGATTAAGTAATAATTGCTTAAAACATCGATTGTTGCAGATTCTTCTAGCTCAGACACTGGCTTAATCATCGACGGCGGCTCATTCCGATACTTCCTCTACATTTACGTCGTGCTGAGTGGATGCTGGCTGATTGTCTCCTCTTTATTGTTATGGGGTAAGCAAACTGATCAAGCTATTGTCGCATCGCTTAATCATACAGTTGGGCGATAAGATTAAAATTGATTGACTAAGCAAGTAACCGTCTAAAATTAGTCGATGGCACTCAATCAAGAAGTCAGCTATTGGAAGGCTCCAGTTGAAGAGCTTTACATTCACGTTTGGTCTATTAAAGTTCTACCAAAAATTGTCCCAAACCAGTTGCCGTTATGTTTAACCAGCTAAATTCTTGCTTGAAAACCCTGGCTGTGAGTTGATCGTCACAGAAACCAAGTTTGCTCTTCTTAATGAAGTTACAAGCGTTTTTCGATCTGGCCTAGTTTTCGCCAAATACATTTTTGAAGACACATTTTTCTGGAATATTTCCTACATAATTTCTAGAATTTCCTATCTTTTTGGGTCTCAGTCAAAGTGTGAAGTACACATTTTGAATATCGTTTATTTCATTACGTTTCGGCGAGACAACAGCGCCATCATCAGGTTTAAAATGTACCCAAACTCATGATTGGTAAAAGTCAACGTTCTTTTAGGTCTTTGACTTCTTGAAACTTTAAATTTGTCTCTTGAAAAGAGAATATGCAACAGAGAGCTGAACCGAAAGCTCGGAACAAACAGAAACTTTCTGATCCTGTATATAATGAACAAATCTGAAACTATGTTGGATTTTATTAAGATGCACAAAAGTTCTGATTTTTCGGAAACTGATGAACTGAAAGTATGCAAAACAGCAGTTTCTAACAAGCGCGGGTGCATAAAAAGTTTCTAATTTGGGTTTGAAAACTTTTAAAGATCTGAAATTTGTACAGAGTAAAAATAACCACCAAATCTACAACTGCGCTTAATATCATTGAATTTAAGAAAAGTTATGAATTTTGGGAAATTCGTAAACCTAAAAAAGGCGAAACAGAAATTTTCATTTCACTTTCATTTACAGAAAAATTCATAATTCGGGTTTAAAATTCCGCAGGATTTGAAATTTTCACAGCATGAAAATAAGAAGCAAATAAACAACTGCGCCGAATTTTACTGAAATAAACAAAAGTTCACATTTTTGGCAAATTCATGAAGCTAAAGAAAACAAAACTGACATTTGTAACGAGCTCAGTTACTAAAAAAAATTCATAATTCGGGTTTAAAAATTCGGAAGAATCTGAAATTTTCCCAACATTAAAATAAGAAACAAATATACAACGGCTGMGAATTTCACTCAAATAGACAAAAGTTCAGATATTTGGGAAATTCATGAACCTAAAGAAGGTAAAACAGAAATTTCTGTCAAACGCGGCTACTGAAAAAAAATCATAATTCGAGTCTAAAAACTCCGAAGGATCTGAAATTTTCACAGCATGAAAATAAGAAACCAATATACAACTGCTGCAAATTTCACTGAAATAGACAAAAAATCAGATTTTTGGGAAATTCATGAACCTAAAGAAGGCAAAACTGAAATTTTTAACAAGCGCGGTTACAAAAAAAATCATCATTCGGGTTTAAAAATTCCGAAGAATCTGAAATTATCGCAACATGAAAATAAGAAACAAATATACAACTGCTGCGAATTTCACTGTAATAGACAAAAATTCAGATTTTTGGGAAATTCATGAACCTAAAGAAGGCAAAATAGGAATTTTTGTCAAGCGCGGCTATTAAATAAAAATCATAATTCGAGTCTAAAAACTCCGAAGAATCTGAAATTTTCACAGCATGACTATAAGAAACAAACAAACAATTGCGCCGAATTTTACTGAAATAAACAAAAGTTCAGATTTTTGGCAAATTCATGAACCTAAAGAAGGCAAAACAGAAATTTATATCAAGCGCGGCTACTGTAAAAAAAAACATAATTCGAGTCTAAAAACTCCGAAGAATCTGGAATTTTCACAACATGAAAATAAGAAACAAGTATACAACTGCTGCGAATTTCACTGAAATAAACAAACGTTCAGATTTTTGGGAAATTCATGAACCTAAAGAAAGCAAAACAGAAATTTATATCAAGCGCGGCTACTGAAAAAAAAACGTAATTCGAGTTTAAAAACTCCGAAGGATCTTTCAAGAGACAAATTTAAGGTGTCAAGTAGACAAAGACCTAAAAGAACATTGATTTTTACCAATAATGAGTTTGGGTAAATTTTAAATCTGATGATGGCGCTGTTGTCTCGCCGAAACGTAATAAAATAAACGATATTCAAAATTTTTACTTCACACTTTGACTGAAACCCATGAGAAAATCGTAACAAGTACACGCAGTCAGGAAAATAAATCAGAATAATTTCTAGAATATTTTCGAGTTATAAAACTCGCACTTTCATTATCGCAAAATATGGAAAAATCAACTCACAAATCTAGTGGATTCAGACAAGAATATACATATAGTTGCAAATATACAGGGTGTTCTATTAGAAAACTGATTTAAAAAAATGCGCTACTCGCTTGGACTCTTTTCGCTTCAATGCAAAAATCGATATTTCAATTTCCAGACCACTTCAGGGAAAAAACTGTAAGCAAATACTATGAAGGTGTTCTGGCCACCTGGATGTTCGTGGTAGGGCTTACGGCCCTGTTGGATGTGATTTTGTTTTCTTTGCTGGTTCACGATTACGAAAAAGAGCGAAAGAATATTGAGGTCGACTCGCCTGAAGTAAGATTTGAGACGCTTTTAAAGTGCTCCTGATCAAACTGTTGGTTTGTATCTGCAGCTGCAGTTAGAGTTGGTTGCCATAGGCGTGGTCTTTACTTTGGCGGCTCGCGGATACGTTTTATGGATTGTTAACGTCATCTTTGCAGTTATAGCAGGAAGAGTGTGGCACCTCAAACGCAACAAGGTGGGTTTCTTTGGCCGTTTCTTTCAGCCATTTGGATCTTTCGTTGGTTTTAGGTGGTGGCAAGAAATCAGCCCTACATCAGCGCCTATTCAAACGGGTAAGTTTTCGCCTTGATTCAACCCTTCTGGAGCCCTTTTCGCTTCCCTTTAGACAAGCAGCCCCTTGGCACCAACAGCCTCAGAACACTTACGAAGGGTTCGACAATAAAGGCTACAGAAACGATAACGATACTCTGCCGTTGCCGTCCCGTCGAATGGACAACAGCCCGCAGGAGAGGGACCGCGGGTATGCAAGAAACGACGATTTGAAGCAGGAGTATCGAAACAAAGACGTTTACTGGAATAATCGAAACAATCAGAACGGCAGAGAAGGTGAGTTTGGAGGCAAGGGCGGATCCCCTCCCATTCAATT